ACACGCCCGAAGTAGAAAATGCTGGTTATTATATGGTTTCTTCCTGAATAGATGCTTAAAAATGCTGTTTTTGTAAGAAAATGCATTCCAGCTCAGGATGCCAGAAACAGGCTTTGATTTTTTTTTTCCCCAGTACCCAGAGTAAGCTTTCTTACTGAAGAAATAATAGGAAAAACTAGAAAACAAAGGGTGGCGAGAGGGAAGATGCTGGCTACTCCAGAAATAGCGCTGGCCTGGCAGATACCAGTTTGCTACGAGCGTGCCATGAGCAGAAACTTCTGGCGCAAAGACTGCTGTTCTGAAGCATCTCCCTGCTCTTACATAACACATCCCAGAGATCTTTGGTTCAAGCTCTTCCATGCTCTAAATTAGGAAATAAGAGGCAGTTGCTTGAAGGGGAGCTTGACAAGGAGGTGGGTTTCTGGGTTGGGGGTCAGAAACTGATGAGTGCTGAGACATGTCCTGTGTGTCTCTGTGATGACATTCTGTCTAGTCCTCAATTCCTTGACTGGCACAATCACTGGTGCTAACAGCTTCTGACTTTTAGGTTGCTAGCATCAGCTTAAAATCTGGAATGGGGACGGGAAGCTACACTTAAGCTTCTTAAAGGTTGAACCTATGCCCTATCTGTCTCTGTGCACTCTGGAGCCATTGCCACTTGGGTAAAATCGGGGAGTGTTTAACATTTCAATGTGCTAGCAAAATGCATGGGCTTTAGAGTCAGGCTCCTCAGATTCACATCCTTTTTTCCTCCCTATGTGCAGACCAGGGACCAGCTGCAGAACCTCTGGGGGCTTTCAGTCACCTCACCCAGAAAAGGACTGGTGACATCATCCACCTCCCAGGGTCACTGTGGGGCTCACATGCAAGCGGGTAAAACACAGAATGCTAGGCTCGCCACATAGTTATTAGCAGCACTTGGAAGGTCTCAGCTGCTCAGATTCCTCATCATTTGTTTCTCCTATTTGCTTCTTCTCACCCATTAGCTAAATGTTTGGGGCTTTTGCCTTCAAATTAGTTTCACAGGGAATTCAGTGACCAGGAAAGTTGGCTAATGCATTGGGCTGAATTGTGACTTGAGACTATGACCTCAATTAGAACCAGGGTCTTCGCAGCTATGGCAATGGTGGCGCGACTGTTGCCCTGGAGATGTGTTCATCCTGCATTGGGATCCCATGCCTCTGGAAGAGATGGAGAGGAAGACACAGTGCAGAGGAGAAGATGGAAGGCCCAGGTCCTTCAAAAGCCACCAGAAGCAGCTTCCCAGGAGACTCTGGAGGGAGCACAGCTCTGTCAGCTGTGCTCCTTGGACTTGTGGTCTGAAGGACCATGAGAGAATAAGTTTCGATTGCTCAAACCCATCGGATTTCCGGTAATCTAGTGTGGCAGCCCTGGGACATGCAGTCAGTTGGGAACAGCGATTCTGGAACACCTGGATTTAGTGATGGGCGTACGAGGCAGAGGCTGTCACACATTCTCCTCTCCCGAGAGACTGGGCACTGCAGGCAGAGCTCTCTTCAGGAAAGGCAATCACCAGCTCTGGAGATTGGAATGATCAAGCCAGTTTCTACTGGGAATCTTGGGTCTTTTTTTCTTTTCTCTTCTTTTTCCTTCTTTCTACAGAGACTGAAGTGGAAGCATGAAGTGCATCTTGAGACACCGAGCAAAGTCACTCTCCGTTGGGTCCCCAGAAAAAAAATGCACAGTGTGGTTCTCGATGCTTGTTCAGTACACCCACACAGTAGCCCACACAGGTCTCCATTGCCTTTCTGAACCCACCCACAATGGACAAAAAGGATCATTTAACTAGAGACTCTGAGCTAAAGAAAGATGCGTGGTTACCACGAGACCAACATAACTGTACATTTCTCTTAACCCTACTGATTCGTGAAATTATGACTGTGAAACAGATTCCCCTCTAAAGTGAAATATATGTGTTTCATGTATGTAACTATATTCATATCATAAACATGTAGATATGTATACATGCATCTGTATAAGCCTTGTAAACCTTTGGAGATTTAATAGCCTCTTCAAGAAGGAGACATGTAAGACTGGAATCTACAGACGCTCAGAGAAATGGTTTCTTTCTCTTCCTCTCCTCTAACTCCAGGAAAGAAAAAGAGCAGTAGACAGCGTCGGCAGTCAGGGGGTGACTTTTTTTTTGGAGCAAAGGCGTTAGACAAGATGACACATGCTGACAGATTCAGCAAATAGTGACTACTGTGCCAATCAGCAGATAATTTCTGTGTGTTTGCCTTGTCAGGAGAACTGTGAGTCACGCTATTTCAAAGACAGGTCACGATTGCTGTTTGTCATCTTGTACCGCGAAGGTCGAGAGAGAGGGGAAGGCAGATGGAAGCCGCATGGAACCAGATCAAGCACATCCATGCAGAGCCTGCTACATGGTTCCCACAGTGCCCGGGACCTGTGTAATTACTGCCTGGACTGACATCTGAGGCTCTCACCTCATCGGTACCCAGGAGGCCACTAACTCACAAGTCCTTTGTGACTTCTGAAAGTCATGTCTTTCGTGACTCAGCCAAGCTTTGCTTCTCTTCCCCCACGGGGTCTTTTAGTCATAGTCAGGGTAATTCCAGGAATAAAGTGACTGCACGGAAGAGGCCAGTAGGGAATCCAAGGAAAGAAGCCACGAGTTTCTTAGATCCCAGGCTATCGTGACATGGATGATTGTTTAGTTAAAGAAAATTCCAGTACACCGAAAATACATTCAAATGGGGAGGGGTAGAGTGAAGCCAAATGGAATCAAGGATTTCTGTCAATAAAGTTATTTTCAGGGAAGGGAGAGAAGGGCAGGGGGTGGGGACCTACTCCCATGGAAAAAAGTCAACAATTCAACCGGATTTTTAAAATATGTAAATGGGAGTTAAGAGAGGTGACACAGAGACGCTTCCTGCCAAGGTTGACAACCTGAGTTCGGCCCTTGGGATCTGACTGATGAAAGTTGTTCTTTGACCTCTTCACACACACTCTCTCTCCCCTGCCCTCCCAATAAAAAAATAAATAAATGTAATTTCCCTATTCTCCATCAAAGAGCTCTTCCGAGGAAATGATACATTTTAGTACTCGAATGAGTGTACACGTTCACACAGCTTGAGTCAACCCATAACCCTTCAAAGAGAACTGTTCCATTCTGAGAGGACAATTCTTAAAGAGACCACTGGGTGAATATAAATCCACAGAGTTCTCCCAGGGTTTAGGAAGAAACCAGCTTTACGATTTGAGCAAGTGGGCTACATTGTATCCTTTTCTTCCTGCCCAAGAAGGTCAAGACAGACCATGGCAGGTGCAACAACGGCAAATGCTGAGTCCAGATAATTGCACGGAGAATCTGCCGAACTATCTGAGAATATCTGGTCCATCATCTGAACAGGAAGAAGGAAGGAGAAAGGCAGGAAGCTCCAGGGAAAGAGCCTCGGCCTATGCTGGGGTAAAGGCCAACTTCCTCGGCTGCGCTTGTTCTCTGAGCCATTCTGCAGCCAGGTAGGGAGAGGGCATTTGGTCATCTCATTCTAGATCTGAAGCCTTCTCCCCGGATGCGAGAGGGGAATGGAGTGCTGGAATAGGGGCGACCAGAGAGCAGAGGCTGTGGGCACGGAAGTTAGCTAAAAGCTAAGAGTCTATTGAATCAATGTTTGTACACTCGTGCACACGCTGACACACACATTCACACACCTTCTGAGCTGACTTGAATTTATCAGCTTGGGTGACTTTTGAACAGTGGATGTGTACACAAATGCATACTTTTTAAAAAGAAAAGAATAAAGACAGCCATGTAGGTGTTCTCTTATTGAAAGTGCATACATCTCACGAAGCACGCTCTTTGGGAAACTACGTTGCTCCAGTGAGCAAGCCCTCGTAATATACCAAAATGCACAGAGAAATCCTTCCTGGCCTCATTTCTCATTTTCTGATCTGCTACTGCTCCCTGGGCTGCTATTGGCTCCTGCAATCCTCGCCTCCCCTTGAACGCTCACCAGACTATTAATTTAAAAGCCAGGAGCTTCCTCTGCTCGACCGGTCACCACCGCTTGCCTTTGTGTTTTGGGAAAGGCAAGAAGACCAACCTGACTTGATCTGTTCTGGGAGGATTGGTTGTTGGTTTGTTCACGTCTGGATTAGGTCTAAAGCGATAATATTATGATGAGGAACGCTGGAGAGCTCCATCTGCATATAAATAGACCTAATCAGAAATGCAAATGGCAGTCTCCAGAAATGTGTAAAGGCTGCCGATAGCTGTGCCTTTGTGTGGGCGAGGACAGGTCAACACGGGTTTTGTGACTCTGTCCGCTGTCCAGAGTCTTCCTTTAAAAGATTATCTATCAATCTGCACCCAGGCTGGGCTGGGTTTCCCATCCTTTGACCTTCCTAACATAGAGCAGCTCAGTTTGGCTCAGTTCCGTGAAAGAACCACACTTCTCGTGCAGACCCCGAGTGAACACAGAGAGTAGAAAATACACTTGCATCTAGATCACCCCAAAGACTCCTCTGAGAGGACTGGTCCCACTAAGCTGAAACTTAGGGGTGAAGAATAAGGTGCAAGGATAATACAATGTTTTTCAGACAGGAGTCACTGCTCATCTGAGTGGATTCAATAATATGTGTTGGGTGTGCCACCAAATTTCCCTCATACCAGAGAAAGGACACTTGAAAAGAAAACAGCGGTGTTTAGACCAACTACGTAGTCCTAAACTGTGTCTGTGTTCCTCTCGTGCAAAGCACAAAATGAACATCTTGGGAAATTTGTCGCGCTGTAAGTTGACAACTGCTCTAGGCTCGTACCGTTTCTTGGGGGGATGTGATCGTGCAGAAACATCCCCTCCTTGTGTCCTTCCAAGCCTATTCTTCCTCTTCTTTTTGAAAAGGAAACATACCTCACAATCAGGCTTTCTCAAATTAGGAGAGAAATTGCATGCCAACGAGCTTCCCTCCGACCGGGTTCACAAAGCACTGATGAGTCAAGAGCGCCACCTGGTGTCCTACCTTGGGATCTTAAAGAGCATTTTCACAGGATGCATTTCAAAGAGGGGAGGGTCTCCATCTCCCAGCTCAATGGCTGTGATGCCCAAAGACCAGACGTCACAACGAGCGTCATAGGATGAGTCATACTGCTGTTCACAAGCAATGACCTACCAGACAAAAGCAAGACACAGCACATCAGCCCGCTGTCACCCCAGATGCGTTAAAACAACAACAACAGCAACAACAACTTAGAACTCTGCCTTTTTTGCACCATTTTCTGTACCATCGACTGTGTTAATACTGAATAGTAGCAGTGTTTGTATTCCAGACCCTGTTTGTGCATAACCGATTCATGATCTGACATGGTTTCTGACTTTTTTCTTTTTTTCCTTTCGTTTGAAACCAGGGTCTCGCTATGTGGCTGAGGCTGGTCTCAAATTCACAAGACATACCTCTGTGTGTTCCTTCCTTCCATTCTCATGTGGCAGTTATGAGTGTTGAGATGCAGGGAGATTTGTTAACTTTTTTTTAAAGAAAATATTAACCCAATTAAAAAATGGGGTACTGAACTGAACAGAGAATTCACAGCAGATGAACTTCGAATGGCCAAAAGACACTTAAGGTTATGCTCAACCTCCTTAGCGATCAGGGAAATGCAAATCAAAACAACTTTGAGATACCATCTTACACCTGTCAGAATAGCTAAACTTAAAAACACCAATGATAGCCTATGCTGGAGAGGATGTGGAGTGAGGGGAACACTCATCCATTGTTGGTGGGAATGTAAACTTGTGCAGCCACTGTGGAAATCAGTGTGGCGGTTTCTCAGGAAACTGGGAGTCAACCTTCCTCAGGACCCAGCAATTCCACTCTTGGGAATATACCCAAGAGATGCCCTATCATACTACAAAAGCGTTTGTTCAACTATGTTCATAGCAGCACTATTTGTAATAGCCAGAACCTGGAAACAACCTAGGTGCCCCTCAATAGAAGAATGGTTAAAAAAGGTGTGGAACATATACACATTAGAGTTTTACTCAGCGGTAAAAAAAAACAATGAAATCTTGAATTTTGCATGCAAATGGATGGAAATTGAAAACACTTTACTGAGTGAGGTAACCCAGACCCAAAAAGAGGAATATGGTATGTACTCACTCATAAGTGGATCTAGCCATAGTTAAAGGTCTTTGAGCCTATAATTTGTGATCCTAGAGAAGCTAAATAAGAAGGTGAACCTGAAGAGAATCATATAGTTATCCTCCTGGATATTGGAAGTAGACAAGATTGCCA